TTTTAATGTGTTAGCCCAGTATACCACCACAGCTCCTCAAGGGACTATGTTTTTGTTAGGCACCATGAAGTCGTCTACAACCCATGGTGACCCGATGCACAACAAAACAAAACAAAAGACTACAGGGTCCTGGCCATCCTTGCCATTGTTCCTGTGCCTGAGCTCATTGATGTAGCCACTGTGTCAGTCCATCTCATTGAGGGCCTCCTCTCTCTCTCTGCCTTTCCACGTTACCAAACATGATGTCTTTCTCCAGGGACTGGTCTCTCCTGACAATAGGTCCAAAGTATGTAAGACGAAGTCTTGCCATCCTTGCCTCTAAGGAGCACTTTGGCCTTAACTTCTTTATAAATGGTCAAGTACTTTTCAACATTTTAGCAGCTTACAAATATTTAGAAGATGACATAGAGCTTGAAGAAAAAAAGTTAACCGTTTAGATGACCAGATCAGATTTTTTTTTAAATCTATTCCTTCTTGTTAGTTGTCTTCGAGTGGATTCCAACACATGATTTTCTTAGTAAAACTAAGGATTTTAAACTATGTGTTATTTTTGAAGCAGATCACAAGGTCTGTCCTTTGAGTTGCTCTGGGTGACTTAAAGAGATCAGCTTTCTGATTCCAACTCATAACAATTTTGTAGACTAAATAGAACTGCTTCATGAAGTTTCTGAAACTAAATATTTCTGAGAGCATATAGCTTCATTTTTCTCTCAAGTGGGTTTGAACAGACAGTTGTGGTGTTAGCAGCCCAGCACTTAACCCACTGCACCACTAGGGCTCATCTGTTAGCAATACTTGTTATACACACACACACACACACACACGAGCTTTCAAAAAGTTTGTGGTAAAATTCCATATTTTCTTTTAATTCCATTTTCCCAAAAACTTTTTGAGGGCCCCTCATGTGGTTGTGTGTATAATATGTTGTCCTTTTATTTCTTTGTAATAGACAAATATTGGGAATCATTTTCTTAAACTGTGGTATAATCACTTGGGAGTTCCATTGGACTCCAGAATTATCAAAATAAATCATACTCTGCATGCTAGAAGGTATGTGACCTTGGACAAGTTATTCTATATCCCTGAACTCCATTTCCTTTACTAAGTTGAAAAACTAATTGGTAGTTCTTGCCCTTCTGAGTGATTGTGATTCAAGACAATGAAAATGTATAAAGCACCAGCACAGTTATTGGCACACAACAGATACTCAGTAAATTATTTCCTCCTACTTATGTTATTCTGAGAAGCCCGGTGACCCGATGGTTAAGGCATTCAGCTGCTAACCAAAAGGTTGATGGTTCAAACCCACCCAGCAAAAATTCCTGCTTCTGTTTTGACGTAGAGGGACATTATGAGTCAGAATTGCCACAATAGCACACTCACTGCCATCAAGTTGATGCCAAATCATAATGACCCTACAGGATAGAGGAGAACTGCCCCTCTGGGTTTCCGAGACAACATGTTAATTCTTTATGGGAATAGAAAGTCCTGTCTTTCCCCCTCAGAGTAAATAGTGGTTTCACACTGCTGACCTTTTGGATTGTAGCCCAATCTGTAACCACTGTGCCACCAGAGTTCCTACAGTAGCTCACATTAATATATTGTTGAGATATGTACATGGTCAGTTTGGTTAGTTCAGTTTATAACATCTTTGATTTGCTAATTAGGATCAGATCCTCACTTGTGTAGTTCCAAGATGAACTAAAAAAACCAATTGAACTTACTGCCATTCAGTCCTTGCTGACTCATCAAGTACATAAACAGCTTTATTTTTTTTATAATTGTTTTATTGACATATCTTACACAATCCAATATATCCATTCACATACAGTTCTGTTGTTCAATCCCATCAAGTGGAGTTATACAATCATCATTGCTATCAGTTCCCCATTCCCCCGCCACCCTCCCTCTTCCAATACCCTCAGGGAACCATACTCCTGTTACTGTGTCTGCAGGATTATCTAGTCTTTCATGTACTGAACAATCTTAAATATACAAATGAACATATGCAAATCTAACATGATTAATGAGGTAAATCAAATATCCTTAATAGTAAAGGGAGGAAATATTTACGAACTAGCAGATAATTATGTGTTTCATCAGTGCCATACCGCACCCTAGATTTATAATCCTTTCCATGTGGCCCTTCTGATAGAGAATGTCCAATTACCTTGCAGGTGAATTTTGGGTCTCTTGCATCCATGTCCTTTCACACTGAGTTGGTTGCATGTTTTAGAACGTCTGATACTTCTTGCCATCAACACCTCATGATCACACATGCTGGTGTGCTTTTTCCATGTGGGCTCTGTTACTTCCCTGCTAGATGGCCACTTGTTTAATTACAAGCCTTTAAGATTCAGACGCTCTATCTTTTGATAGCCAGACACCATCAGCTATCTTCTTCACCACATTTTCTTATGCACCCTCATAAAGAGTTTTAGAGGATTGCTCCCTTTCCTCAGTACTTTCTACTTCCACAAAGCTCCCCTTTTTGATCGTCTACCAGGAACTTGAAACTATATTTTGCTCTGCTATGTAGCCACAGTTTCACCTGTATCGAGGGCTAAATAAATGGTAGGAGATGCAGTAGAAGAGGAGGGAGTGAAAGAAGGGTTGGCTCCACTCTCCTGGAACTGTAATTCCACTAAACAGAGGCAGAGATTACGTTTCTTCGCAGCTGTGACTTGCAGTTTTCCATTGTGGCCATCACATCCTTCACCACAGGATTTCTGGAAGCTGAAATAAGAGACTCCCTCCACTCCTCAAAAAATGAAAAAGAAAGGCAAGGGGTGGAGAATCCCCTACTTTAAGCCTAGTTCCCTTTCTTGGTCCTCAAGCCAGAGCTAGAGAGCTTTATGGAGACTTCTTTCCGCGTTCACTTCTGGTTTCTGGCTGTGTTGAATTTGGCCTGCAAGATACCAAAGAAGAGGATGTCCTAGGGAGGAAAAGGACCCCAGATTCAAACATTTTATGCAAATATATTTTATTAAATCTTACATAGGATAGAGACAAGACAAAGACAAAAATGAGTCATCTTGAATGAAGAAGACCATGGTCTCCAAAGAATTCACAGTCTTGTGGCTACATTGTAAACCTTGGTGAGGAAAGGAAATCATCACAAGATCATGACTGATGGTAGATTATTTCATCATAGTCTTAGGCAAGACCATGGAAGCTGATAAACCAAACTCACTGTCATTGAGTCAACGCTTACACATAGTGACCCATCCTGTGGGTTTCCAAGACTGTAACTGTTTACAGGGAGTAGAAAGTCCAGTCTTTCTCCCGAGGAGCTACTGGTGGTTTCAAACTGCCAACCAACTTGTAACCATTATACCACCAGAGAGCTCCTGGAATCATGAGTAGGCTATGTATACAAGATTGATTCAGAGCCCTCAATCATGTTGGTATATAACTCATGACCATGTAACCCTAGTGCCCCAAATTCCTTCTAAGGCACACTGAGGCAAGTCCCTGAGGGCAAAACTGCCCCTCTTTCGACTGGCCAGGGGAGTTGTCGCCATTTACTTTCAGACATACACTGCCTGAAGACAAAGCTTTTTGCTTTGCTGGTCATTGATCAGAAAGAACTCAGTGCAAGCAGAATGTATGTAGGGACTCAAATGGATTTAGAGCTCCTACTGCAAACCATAGACTTCCACAAAACTTCTACCACCCACCCACTGCCATCCAATGGACTCCAACTCATTGCAACCCTAAATAGGTTTACTGGAGCAGATATCTTTCTCCCAAGAAGCAGCTGGTGGGTTTGAACTGCTGACCTTGAAGTTAGCAGTCCAGTGCTTACCCAACACCATTTCACTTACATTTCAGAGACCTCAAATAACTTCTCCATACAGCCAGTCTTGGTTTTGTAGTTTTATTCAGTAGGAAGGACAAGGTAGAATGTTGTATAATCCGTCTTTCCCAAAGCTATAACCCAGAATTTCCATGTAAAAGAGAGGACTTATAATACTCTGCCTTATCCCTTTTTTTTCTGTCTTTCTTTCTTTCTTTATTCATATTGCCTCATCTCTTTTCTAACTCGGCAGGCACCATTCCCACTGAAATGCAATTTTGATCACGTAACTGACTGCCTTAACAAAAAGTATTTTTATTGGTTCTCCACTACTTCTAGATTTAAGTACAGACTCTTTAATTCAATATTCTCATTCCCAGCTACATAGAATTTACAGCCAAAAAGGGATACTTGCTTATAGACAGTTATCCTAGCCCACATCCATAAATTTATGTAATTTTCTCTCTGTGTAAACTAGTTCCCAATCTTTCCATTTCTGCCTGTTGAAATTTTATAATATCATTTAACACATACTACTTCCTTAACTTCTTCTAACTTTTTGCACTAGTTTTATGTGCTCCTCATTAAAAGAGTTTGTGGTTCCTTCAACCTTTGAGTAACTGTCATTTGTTCCTTTAAAGATATACTTTGACGTTAGAATTACTTTTATACCTAGAGATGTAGTAACTGTATTTTGAACAGGCTATTATACAATTGAAGTTGTCAAGGATTTTGTCTTCCTTGGATTCACAATATCAATGCTAATAGAAACAGCAGTTAAGCTGTACAAGATTTCTTTAAAGTATTGAAGAGCAAGGATGCCACTTTGAGAACTAAGGTGTACATGATATTTTCAGTCACCTCATTTGAGGACCCCGAAAATAAGAAATATAATATTAACTTTTCTACAATGGCTGTGGTTTTTTAATGTACTCAATTTTCTACCACCAAGGAGCCCCGGTGGTGCAATGTTCCAAGCACTTGGCTGCTAACTGAAAAGTTTGCAGTTTGAAACAAGCAGCCACTCTGTGAGAAATAGATGTGGCAGTGTGCATTAGAAACTATGGGTTTGTTCTACTCAGTTCTATAGAGGTGCTATGAGTTGGAATAGACTCCTTGACAGTGGGTTGGGTTTAATACTTACCTCATAGGAACTATTCAGTACACATCATTAGCCCTAACATCTTTCTTCTTTCCACAGTACCTTGGCCATGTAGAAGTTGATGAATCAAGAGGAATGCACATCTGTGAAGATGCTGTAAAAAGATTGAAAGCTGTATGTATTTATATTTGCCAGTGTTTATATCTATGTTGTCAATACTTTCTTAAAAGATTTTGCTCAGTAAATCTTAGTAACTCATATCATTTGCTGTGTAAACTTATAACTAAAATTCAGTAAAATATTATTACTTAATTTTTTTTCCAATAACCCAATATCTAGTAAGAACAGTGTTTTTTCTTAAGGCAAAAATGTAAGCTCAACAATAAAGAGCATCTCATATGGTCCATTTAAAGACATAATTTATAGAACCAGCCTTTTCCATTTAGGTCAGACATTATCCATAAACTATTTTACTGTTGATTTGGAACCACATTGAATAAGTGGTATAAAACCAGATAGAAGAATAAAATGCTAAAGGCGCTGTAAAACTGTCCTATGTAGCGTCTTAACCTGTGATAACTGGATTATCAGTCACTGATTTTTAAATTGCCCATAAGAAGCAGCTTTCCAGGAAGATGAAGATAGCGATATCTGTATCAATAGCTGGGGATGTTTGAGATTTAGGTGGGGACTCCTATCACTGTTACCTTGATTCCTGACTTCCCATGTACATTCACCCCAATTTTCTTCTGGGTGTTCTTCTAACATAAACATTTTTTTACTACCTTTTGCACAAACTCCAGCTTAATTTAAATGGAGGAACCTTTTCCAGGACGAATTATCTATAGAGCACATACCAACCATGCACCTGTGCATTTAATAAAAGAGAATTAATTATTCTTAAAAGTTCAGATGAAAACCATAATTTCCTATTTTCGATAGGTTTAAAGAATGTTTCTTAGACTCTGATAGCCTTTTTACAACCTTCCTCCCCTCCACTATGTGGCCTTTTTCCTTCTTGGCTATGAAAGCTTTTAGCGTTACTTATGCATGCCCTTGCCCCAAACAGCCTTAAATACTTGTTGCTTTGGGTTTGCTGGTATGACGGGCTGCCACAAGATGGGCTACTAATGACTGCTTTTTCTCAATTTGCTTGGTAATCAATATTTTTCTGCTTCTCATTGCCTTCTATATGATCTCTTATCTATAAGTCCTTAAATAAGATATAAAATTAAGCAACTTACCAGAGCGAGGTGGGGTTTATTTTGGAACAAATGCCTGAATCTGTTGTAGAACATAAAGGAAGGGAAATATACCTGATTATCATAAACAATAGCATGTGTGTGTGTGTGTGTATACACACATGTATATACATATGCATACACACATTTACAAATATAATGTATATACATATATTTATGCATTCAATATATACACACATAGTATTTACATGCCATATATGTGCACATGCACACATGTTATTTATATACTCCAAATCAGATATTGATCATTTAAAGTCTTAAATTGAAAACCTTCCTGCTATTTCTATTCTCTAATTCATCATTAAGGGGATTTAAAGCAGTATATTATGGTACATGAAAACATAATTTTATAGACTTGCCACGTTCACCTTAATATATCACCCAATTATACACAGCTGTCTTAATTTTATAACTATTTTAAAATAGAATTACTTTGTAAACAAAAGATTTTTTACATTTCATAGTTTATAATAAGCAAGATGAATTTTAAAAATTTAAAAATAAAGAGTAATGCAATAATGTGCTCTTGGCTGTCTAGTTCAAAATTTTTACCTACTTTTGACTGGAAACATCACATCTTTTTTATAAGTAATACATATTCACAGCATAAAGTACAAACGAACCCAGAAAAGTTCGCAAATAAGACAAAATCTCATGCTTTCTCTGAAATGCAACTAACTAGTAACTGTTCAGTTGCAAAAGTAATTTTTTGAGTAAATTTGTGATTATTTTTTAATCAAGAAGATTATAAACTATAAGCACAATTATTGGAGAAGTAGGGCCATTTAGATAGTAAAATTCCTTTGAGATTTTGTTTTCACCAGCTAAAGGAATCAAATTGCCGTTAAAAAAAATATATATCCTGTGTCTGGAACCAGGGTCTGGCACATAGTATTCATTCAGAATATATACAAAGAACAACCTAGTCCACCTCAATGTGTGGTCAGATTGAATCACATATTATCATAACTTTATCATATATTTAAAGTTTATAAAAATCCTTTTGCCTATCGCTAAAGGTACTCACTTCTCTATAACTTAAAATAATATTTCATGTATATTGATGACTGCTTTTCTGGATATAAAACATTGAACTTTGGGCGGGAAATTGACTTAAAGTTTCACATGTGCAACAAGTTAACTATCCTGGAGATTCAGAGTAAATGTTATGTATAATTTTTTATGGAGAACATCTCTTTTTTAAAAATGAGATTGAGTTATTGGATAACTGTGATCAATTTCTTAATTTTTATACCCTCTAATACTGAACAAGGAAGCTTGCAGATCATTAGGATGTTGTTCATCTCAGATCATTAGTCTACACTAATTTATGAATTTTCCCTTTTATATATTCACTGCACAGAAATTTCTAGTGCTTTTTTTGGCTCTCTGGCCAAACGTTTATCTAACAAACATCTACTACTTTTTTTTGTAAAGGCCCTGTTATCTTTTTACCTAGTTACTTTTGTTATCATCATAAAATATAAGCCAATGTTGGAGTGTACAAGCCTACAGAGGATTAAGGAAGACATAGCTCAAGCCTTTGAAACCAGTTTGAATGCTAAAGTTAAAATATACAAGGGGGTACCCCCTCCCAAAAATAAACCCAGAAAAGACTCTGCTAAGCAGAGCTTTCATATTATGCCTTTTTCCTACTAGCTGAGCATGGAGGAACTTGCTCTGAGTTAGTGCACCCAGTGGCATCACCTGGGAAGGTTCTCTATGGTCACAGTGAATTAATTTGTAAAAGCAGTTTCTCTAGAACCTCATTTTTTTGTGATAGCTGATTTAAGAGAACAGCATGAGGCTGTGAAATTTTGTTCCTTTTTGGGGAAAATGCCACAGCAACAGTTGTGATTTTGAATACAGCTTAGAAGGACAGCACTATAGGAAAAAATGAAGTATACAAATGGTTCTCTCATCAAAAAAGGTGAAATGTCAATTGATGACAAACCTCATTCTGGACATCCATCACCTTCCCAAATGGACGAAAATGTCAACTCATAGTGCATTTGGAGTTTGTTCTACCAGGTCAAGCTTTCTATTTAGAGGTTCTGAAAAGGTTGCATAGCAGTGTGCAACCAAAAAGGCTTGATTTGTGACAGACGGGGGACTGGTTTTGCCACCATGGCAATGCTCACGCACCCATCTCATTGAGCCAGACTTTGGTAAAAAGCAGCATGCCTGTCTTGCCCCAAGCACCTTACTCACCTGATCTCACTCCGAGTGACTTCTTTTTGTTTCTGCGAATGAAGAGGGACACTAAAGGACAGTGATTTGACAACATAGAAGAGGTGAAGGAAAAAAATGAGGGAGGTGCTGTCAGCCATCCAAACAGATGAGTTTGAAAAATGTTTTCAAGAATGGAATTGCAGATTTGACAAATGTATTAAGTGTAATGAAGAGTACTTTGAAGGTGCTAAGGTTGTTTTGTTAAAAAATTTTTTTTAAATATATAGCTTTGGAAAAAAAATTCCGTTGGTTTTTGTTTTGTTTTGTTTTTAATTACATATATATATATATCCCAGTTAAGTAGCTAACAAATATCTGAAAGCTGTCACTTAAATGATCTTTAAGTGAAAAATTTAGCATTCTAGTGCTTTTTTAATTTGTGTAGAACTGAGAAAGCTGAATAATTTTCAAATATTAGGGTCATTGCCACCCATCTCTCTAACAAGTGCCTTATAATTTAGAATTTAACTTAATTTGGAAGTTATCCATTCTCAAAGAGATATCATAACTAAACAAAATAATATTGTTTTTAAAATATGCCACTTCACTGGCTACCACTGCCGAATTTTCTGACCCAGGACACAGTAGAATCAGTAGAATGTCCCAGATTGAATGGAAGAAAAATACAGAAGAAAACTATAAATTGCTTAAAAAGGCCAGACCTATTGGACCAAAAAAGACTAGATTCTATACCATGAATCTTATGGCATGGTAGGTTTCAGGGTGATAGCTAAGGGCTATCGCCCTTTTAAAATCAATTGTGTAAATGTATATCAGACCTTTGGCTATTTTGCTTACTCTAGTCCAAGATACTCTTATTTTCAAAGGTCTTTTCTTCCCATTGTCTCTAAGATGTGTCTCCCTCTCTGTCTTGGTTTTAGAGTACTTTCATTATACTATCAGTTAGTTCCTAATGGTTTTTTATTCACTATTTGATATATTTGTTTTAATATATGTTCTTGTTTTAGCAGGTAAAAGAATCATAACTTAGTTTGTTTGGTTTTTTAAACAACATTAATATTATTTTCTAACCTAACAACTTCCTTTTTATGCATTTTGCACGTTAACTGTTTCATTAACGTCTGAGATCTTTTGTAAACAGAGGGGGAAAACTCCATATGTTTCCAGAGCGTTTCATAGAACTAAATTAAATCTTTACTGATCTCCTACCTTCACCTCTCCACCCCTCAGGAATGGTGAATCTCTTCATATTGGCTGCATTCTTGAAAGCTAATTATTACTTAACTGTCTTAACAAAACTAGGTCTCCAAACTTGGCAGCAGAAATAATCTTGGTTTTATTGTGATAACTTTCACAGATTACTTTATTATTGTTCCAGATTAATTACAAAATATTCTGTGGATCTATTTGATGCTGCTTGTGATTTTTAAAACTAGCTTGTCAATGTTTGAGCTGGTAAATTATCTGAAAAAGTCAACTTTTAGTAGAGAGAGGTCTTGTTCTAAAGATAGTCCAATATTAAAAACTGATGAGGATGAAAAAGTACAAGCAACCAAGGGTTGGAAACGTACAGTTCAGCTAGCATTGGTGAGTTAATAAAACCCATCCATCTTACATAAGCTCTGCACATTTTAAATGGTGGCTGCTTTTTATTTACTTAAAAATTGGTTCAGGAGCCATAGATAGCTTTGTTTCTCTTGTTCAGAGAAGAGAGTATGTATAAGATGTTTACTTATAAAAGTCAGTGCAAGTTTATATAAAACAACAGCATTTGGAAACAGAACCCCATTCCTTAAATTTTAAATGAAACCTACAGACATGGTTCATTCTCAGCAATATCTACTTTTCAGGCTCCGTTGTAAACATTAACCCTCCGTTCTTTAGAGAGGGTTTATTTTGTATCAAGAATAAAATATATCTGTCATTCCCCTATATATGTGTCTAATAAATTAGCTACAGGTGTCTTCCACTTCTCGAAAGGTCACTTTTACCTCACTTAACTTTTACAAAATATCTAAGATGTTTATACTAGGATCCAGTACCTAGTTTGTTGATTTTGCTAGGATTCAGTACCTGTTTTGTTAACTGAAAGAAATCCAAAGAGGATTTTCACTTATATCCAAAAATAGGTGATAAGCAAAACTACTAGCATTTGACATTTGTTTTACCGTTAAGGAGGTCACATACCCCTGTGAGTGAGATTGGTGTTGCTACGCTCCTTCCCAGGAAATACACTCAGAATCAAGCCACCATAATTTTTAGCTCTGTGAACACTTTGTGCCAGTGTTATTTTAGGTTTCATATGCTATTTTTATATTATTTGGTTGGTTATTTTGGGGTCTAGGAATGCTCAAAATTTTCCCCACATAGATTAATGAATGATCATTGCTTCTGTCTATGCCATTTCAGTTTACAAAGGATTTTTATAGG